GAATGTCAATATTGCCTGATTATGAGTGATGAGCTGAACATGTCAGCGCAACCTCTGCCTAACCCAAATTCACCACTGTCCGAGGGCTCAATAATTGGACTTTTTTGGCAGAGGACTATGATCCCAATTCCAATCCCACCTTTCCAACTTTCACCAATCCTCCTAACCAGCCCAGAGCAAACGAGATAGCCCAGCTTCAGGAGGCCATTGACCGCCTCTAAACCCAACAAAACAAGCATTGTGAAGAATTCCAACAATTTCGAGAAGAACAAATAGAGCACCAATTCAAAGTCAAACAATTGTTGGAAGAAACTCTAACCGTGCTTTGCATGCGTCCACAATAAACTATAAGTTTTCCCTTGCTTACATGTCTCTAACGTTTCCAGTTGGGACCATGGAAACATTTAAGCCTAGGAGATTTACTGTCTCTACAGTTTTTTTTAGTTAACTATTTCAATATTTTTGTTTTGTTTTTGTAATTGTGAGTTTCCTTTTGTTTTAACATGGCATATAGCACGTAGCACTGCATGATCGTTTTTACCTTAGTTTTTCTTAACCTCAAGTTCTAAACCGCACACTTTGAGCACACTTCAGAGCCAATAAACTACTAAACTCATTGTGTGGGTGCACTCTACCAATTATAAATGATCTTAGAATTGTTAAACATTGTTTCAGCTTCACACGGAAAGATGAATGATTGAAAGCTTTCAGCCAGACCAGTGAGTGAGAGCACAAAATACTTATATCCACTTATATCCACACTATTGAGAGACATCATCATAACATATGTGTTTGCATTGATTAATTCTTGAAACAATTGCTTTTGCATGAAAAATTTGGAAAGGTCAAGGCATTTTGTGTATATATTAAAAAGCCTAGTGAGCCTAGAGCCAGATTAGGAACCAGGTTTCAAAATTTTTCCCTTGATAAATCTCTTTTGAGCTTTATATTTTTTTTTTCTGACCCTGAAACCCTTACAATTTGTCAAATCCCCACCTGAACCAAACCAAAAGAGCACGTTAAAAATGAAGTGGGTTAAGAATCAGGGAAGGGAAAGGAAAAAATTAGGTGCATCAAAACATAGGAGCCACCTCTCTTAAGTACTCGAGAAGCTGCTCAAATAAGTTCTCTAATACCAATTACTTCATTGAAAAAAAAGGAAAAGAGAACCAAGCAGATCGTATAAAAAAAAATTCGAAAGAGAGGGGTTCATCAATATGAATTACAGGGAAAAGCAGAGTCTGAAAGGAAGAAATTGGGAATGATAGATGTGGGTGGAGTTATCAAAAGAAAGAAAGGAGTTATGGTTCAATGGTTCAATTATTTTTCTTTTCATTTTCAATTTGCTCTTTGGAGTTTGGAACTTTGTACATCCAGAAAAACCATGTATCTCTTCATTAGCCAAGCCCCATTACAACCTTCTCAAGACCCTGTGATCCTCTATTTTTCTTTCAAAAGTGACAATGGAAAGAAGATATAAATGCTTATGTTCATAGGAATGATGTGTGATTAAGAGAAACACTCACATGGAGAGAAACAATGTGAGGATTAATTTCAAACATTGATCCATAGTGTTCAAGTGGTGATATGTCTTTCAATTCTTTGGTTACACGTAATTGAGTATGTGGGCAGTTCAAGTGAGTAAGAATCAAGTTGGAAAAAGGATGAGAGGTGTGCTCTGAAATTATTTATGCGGAAATTGGAACTTAAGTTATGATAATCTGTATCCATATACTCGCATCATCTGTGTTCATTGAAATTTCCTTGCTTGAGGACAAGCAAAGGCCTAAGCCTGGGAGATTTTGATGCATATTTATTTTACCTCACATTTATAAATTAAATTAGGTCAATTGCATGCATTCTTGTAACATTTAAACAATGTTTTCATGCATTATCGTTACATTTAACTTGTAGTGTAGTTTCTTTGTTTTGTTGAAAAAACAGGTGCATTTAGAACAAATTTTGTGGGGCTTGCGTGGCTGACATCACTCATAGGCTGACAGTGGAATCCTTTTTGCTATTGGGCTTGGGCTGAAAAAGTAAAAGACAGGAGTAGCTAAAAGAAGGGTTGACGTGGAAAGAAATGGAAGAAGTTAAAAAAGTGGAGAGAGAGCTGAGACCGGGGAGGCAGCGTACACTAAACAATAGTTTTTGGTTTTTTAGGGTTTTAAAAATTCTGTATGGAAGGCTAACTTTTTCCCAATGTTGGAGGATTGATGTAATATTATGTAAGATAGATTCTGAATCTATTTAATTTGATGCAGTGTAATTTCATTTACTCTAGTATCTTATATATGGTTTTTTATGTTTAATTTTAAGCAGTTATATTTGGAAAAATTGACACTGTTTATGTTGTTAGATAAGGTAAGTAAGGTTTTTGTTTAATTGGAAAATTACACAAACTTAACTAGTTTTTGTGGAGGAGATTATTAATCATTCAAGTTTCAGTGAATTTTCTTCCAAGGGATTGAGAAATTAAAAGTTTCAATGAATAATTTTACTTACCTAAGGGATTAGGAAGTGAATAGCGCTTTTAACTCTAGTGGGTAAATTTAATTCTTGCATCAATTAAATAGGCTAAGAATTTGTAAGAAGGAATATGAAATCAATCCCCTGACATATATTTTACTGCAAAGAAAATTAACTTTTCTGTTGTCATTCTTTTGATATTTGATTATTTAAACTTCGATTACTCAAACTTAAGAAAAATTAATGATCTGGTATTCAACAAATATTTAATCCTAAGGATGATAAAATGGTTACTTTTGTAACAATTGGTCAACTTACCAAATTATACATTAGTACATAAAGAACATCATTAATAATGAGTTGTGGAGACAATTAAATAGAGCCAAGATGAGCAACAACTTCAGAGCCATTAGGTAGGGTAATTTGTATGGGTTTAATCTTTGAAAAATTTAAGAAATTATCAAAAGAACAAGTGATGTGATCAGTAGCCCCTGAATCAATAATCCAGGAAGAATTATTGAATGAGTGTGATGTGTGTATAGTTGTCAAATGTTTATGAGAAATAAAACAAATACCAAGGCCCATATTAGTGGAATTAGAAGAGCCAACACTGGACACTAGGGTGAAGTTGACATTTTTGGGCTGAGAAGAGGTTGTACGGTTGTTGCTCTATTGTTAAAGAAGACCAAGAAGACTATGATATTGGGCTTTAGTGAAACCGTAACCTAGCCCGTTAGATGTAGAGTTCGGGGTCAAAGAGAAGTGCGGATCTTCTTTCTACGCAGCATTATTGACAGTAGCGGAAGAAGAAGAGCTTTCTTTGTTGTGGAAATGTGGTCGCCCTGGATATCGCAGATGACCAAGGGAAAAACCATGCTTGCATACGTCTACTGTATGTCCATTACGACCATAATAGACACACTTTTTGTTGGAGAAAGTTCGAGTATTGCCACTGGATTGTCCTGCAGGAGCACCTCCTCCACGTCCTCTCCCGAAAATCGATTGAGCAACATTGATGAATGTGTTGGGTTCGTCAGTGATTGGCGATGAAGAGTTGTGACACTCTTATTGAATAATCATGGAAAACACATGGTTAAGAGGTGGAAGAGGGTCCATAAACAGGATTTGAGAACAAACAACATAAAAGTGCTCTTCTAAGCCTTTTAGAAGGCGGATAATAAAATCTTGTTGATGATACAATTTTGCAGAACAAGTGAAGTTTGGAAATGGACGTAAATTATCAAGTTGTTCCCACACAGATTTGAGTGCTGTAAAATAATCTGTAATAGAACGAGAGCCTTGCCTGAGACCATATATTTCTTCTTGGAGCTCTGTGATACAGAGTAGGTCACTTTGAGAAAAACGTTCATGGAAATCTGTCCAAATGTCTACTGCACAGTCCAGAAAGATGACACTTTGTGTAATGGGTGATGAAAGGGAATTTAGCGGCCAAGACATAACTAAGGTATTACATCGTCCCCAAGAAAGATAGGAAGGGCTATGGACATTTGGTGTAGATATGGTTCTAATGAGGAAACCTATCTTGTTCTTAGATATCAAGGCCATTCTAATTGAACGGGACCAGGAATGGTAATTGTTACCATCCAGTGCTGGAGAAATAGAAACAAAAGATGGGTTCTCACTCGGGTGAATATGATATGGACTTGAGGGATCAAGATCAAACCATGTTGAGTCAGCATCATCGGAAACGTCAGACATTATTGATATGAGATTAGCAAAGCTCCAAGTGGAGCTCTGATACCATAAAATGAACATGAAAATGCTGGAAGGCTATAAAACAAAACCCTAAATGACGATGAAAAAATTGTATTCACACTCTTTATTGAAAGAGGCAGTATGATATATATTCAAGCTACACTTTGTACTATGGAGAAAAAGACAATTGAAAAACAAAAAGTAACACCTCAACATATTCTAGAATGCTTATTACGGAATACGATTACAAAATAATTCGTATTTCTTTTAAAAGCCTTCAAAAATTACGAATTGAGCTTCCCAAATTCATAGATTGTCATATAAATCAAGTTTAAAATTGTATACATAAACTGTGTCTTAATTGTCCCACTTTCTTTTGGGTGCAGTACCCATAAAATTTCATTGGTTACACTAGACAAAGTGCCACAACAGAAATTTCCGGTTCTATTCTACTTTAAAATTAAAATAATCAAGGACATACAAATGTGAACGTGCACAACTACGAGAAACAGACAATCTATCATAATCACTATATTCAAAATTTAAGTTCTACAAAGTAAATTCCACGGCTGTGTTGATAAACAATGCTGTCCACAGTCAAACCAAACCCCGAAACATTCATCCAAAAGAAAAGGATCAAGTTCGATTAGTCATTGATGTCGGACAATATAGGGAACTGTATGAACACGTGTTTAAAAGCTCATGCTTGATTAAACTGTGACAACTATATTCTAAACCGTTGGTGGCAGTAAATTCCATACAGTGCCTGAAATCCACGTGGGGGAGTTGCTAGAAGTTGAAACGCCTTTCATGACCTATCGTTTAGACTTTGATTTAGTCAAAGCTTCAATAAGTCTGTACATCCAACGGTCCAGCATTCCTGTTGATATAAATGAGCCTTTAGACATGAAATGTGAGTGCAAGAAAAAAAACAGACTACGGCAGGAAGAATTTGTGGAACAACAAAGAGAACTAATTTGTGAATATCTTAGAATAACTTCGTAATCCTTGAGATGAAATTATATAAACTAATTTTGCATGAATTCTTGCTTGCATCAAACAACAGTTGAATTATATAAATTATGTGGTCTGACTTAAATACTACGCTAAAACCAAAAGAAATAATCATATCTCAGGAACTTTTCTATTTTATTCTCTTTAGATTACCTAAAATGACAATTCACTTTTTTGCGCGGCAAAATACAGATCAACCTTACTGATAGAATGATTAATGGAACAAGTATGCTACAGTATCAGTAATTAAGAACAAAACCTGTCACAGCAAAGGTTCCACCTAGCACAGCACAAAGCCGAGTAATAAAATGAAGAAAACTACGGCGCTCTTCCTTGATAGTGACAGTGATGGGTGATAGATCATACAAAAAGTAGACAGCTGCATACAAAGTATAAATGGGAAACAATAATGAAAATCTGTCTAAAATATTAAGCAAAGCCAATGTCAAATATAAAACCAACCTGGCCAGGTCCGATCAAACTGATTAATTGGTGAATAATATTCTGATACTGAGAACTGATTGGTTGGTAGAACTTCTTTTGAGATATATCTATATTCGGTTGGAACAACCTGCATCAATATAGGAAATTTATGAATTTTACCAAAAAAGATGCTAAAATTATGAATACGATCACTAAATTGTTGCTTAAGATTAAAACTGCTATACGATTATTAACACCCCCATTTTTCACTTCAGGAGTTGCTAGTTTTTCCAGCAGATTAATGGACGAAAAGGTAGGCATTCGAAGTAAACTTTACTTGAGTATGGTTGGTCAAGAAAGACGTCTGACCACTACTACAAATTGAGGAGATATAAAACAGACTTTAAATCCAAGGGAGTGATTGCAATGAGCAATCTAGAAAGAGCAACTCATGTCTATAATATGCATTGAATTCTTTCAGATCTTGGTTTTTTCTCTGTTTTTTTTTTTTTTTTTTTTTTTTTATTTATTTATGGGTTTTCTATTGGTATAGAATGGTAAGCTTAAAGTTCAATTTTGTTGGTAGTTGGTAGTGGTGTGGTGTATATTGGACACTTGCACTTCATCCAGATCATTACAAGTATTTGTTACCCTTCCATGCACGCTAATACTCTATGGCTTTTCAACAGGAATATATGGGGAAAATTAGCAATTGATGGATAGATGTTAATTCTTTATTTCCACAAATTAGCCATCCACAATCTTAACTTCTGAATACAAATTTTGGCTTCAGTTGATTAAGTGAATCTAACTACATTCAAGAGAGAGAACCACAAAAAAGAGTATGAAGATTTTGAAAGCAGAATAAATTTATAGGGGAGAAAGGAAAAAGCAGTTGGATTATTATATCAGTGTGTTGTTGCCCAGGTCTTGGTCTTCTGCACTATCCTAACTTTGATTGCCATTGAATGACCATATACTAAGAGTACACAACAAATATTGAATGATAATACTAAATAAATTGGCATTGTCCAAACTATTAGAGGAGCATGGAGGAGTAATCATAGCAAACTGCACGGTTACTTAGGCTTGGTAGACAGATTATTAACAAAGGGCTCAAATAACAAACCTTTATGTAATATTTAAATGTTCCACTGGTATCATGCAGAATCCTTGTGGTGTCATCAAGTGGGTTATGGATTCCTGGATATTTGGGGCCAAATGATAAATCATGGATGACATGACTAACATTCACATTCTTTGCTCCATCAAAGATCTGAAGAAAACCATCGCAACTGAGTTAACTATCTGATATATACAAGTCATGAATCTGATGAGTGTCTTTCTAAGCAAATTTTAGACAGGAAAGTCTCACAGAACTTACAAGGTTAAAAAAGTTAAATTGGAATAAATTTATCTGTGTATTCCTAATTAAGTATAGAAACGGAAAATTCATCCCTACCATAAATGGATATCATTTGTAAGTAATTGAACTCGGTCATGGTTTATGGTAATCCCTACAATTTGTGCAAAGTAGCTGCTTTGTAGTTGGTCCTCATCAGGAGTGAGGGGTCCTTTTCTTATAGTTGGCCTTGACAAGTCAGTTATATCAAGGAGTGAAAGCTTGTCGTGATTCGGCCAAAACAGAAGGTTTATCTCAGTTATAGAACTGAGTTTCTCTCTCCCTCCCTCTCTCACTATACGCACAAAACACATGGGATAAGATCCATTGACACCAAGTTAAGACTTAATCCAATTCTCATCCATTAAGTAAAATAGTTAATGTAATGGCTAAAACTATTTGACTTAAAAATTGTTAGGTAAACATTAAATGCATGTAGTTGAGAAGTAGTAGTTGTATTGAATGTATGTAGTTGAGAGATAGTGATTGTATTGAATATATGTAGTTGAAAGGTAGTAGTTGTATTAAATGCATGTAGTTGAGAGGCCATATCCAAAGGCCTATAAATTGAACATGTACCATTCATTGTAAACACATCAAGTGATAATATACAGAGTGCTTTATTTAGATACTTGTTTGTCAACAAATTGGCATCAGAGCTTGAGAGCCTGAGTGTCTGAGTGCGTTAGAGAGAGTGTTTAAGAGTTAGAGAGTTTGTTTGAGATGGCCAACTTAGCTAACAGCATGGCCCTGCCAAAGTTATCGAAAGGCGTAAGCTATAATAACTGGAGCCTGCAAATGAAGGCTCTCCTTGGTTCCCAGGAAGTATGGGATGAGGTCGAAAATGGGCACCAAGAACCAAAGAATATTGAAGAGCAGACGATTGCCCAACTTGCTGCATTGAGAGCAACACGAGTAAAGGACAAAACGGCTTTATTCGTGTTGTACCGAGCTGTTGATGAGTCTGGCTTTGAGAAGATAGCAAATGCTAAATCTTCAAAAGAAGCGTGGGATATTCTGGAGAAGGCATATAAAGGGGATAATCGCGTGAAGCAAGTCAGGCTTCAAACTCCTAGAGGCGAGCTTGAAAGCATGAGGATGAAAGAGGTCGAAGGGGTTGCCGAGTACATCTCCCGTGTTGAGACCGTGGTGAATCAACTCGGAAGAAATGGAGAGACGCTACCCACTTGCCGAGTGGTGGAGAAAATCTTAAGGTCGTTAACTGACGACTTTGAGAATATCGTTTGTGCAATAGAAGAGTCCAAGGACTTGTCGGTGCTCTCGATGGAAGAGCTTGTCGGGTCGCTTGAAGCGCATGAGCAGCGGAGAAGGAAGAAGAAAGAGGAGTCCCTTGATCAAGCACTCCAAGCAAAGGCAACCTTAAAGGAGAAGAAGGTTTCTTATGCTCAGAACACTCAAGGCCGAGGTTGTAGAGGCAGAGGAGGATATGAAAGAGGTAAGGAGCAAGTCAGTCAACAAAACTGGCGTGGCCGAGGACAAGGTAGAGGTCGTGGCGGTAGAGACCGAGGTAGTAAGTCAAGCAATTTCGGAATTGAGTGTTTCAAATGTGGGAAGTACGGTCATTTTGCTAAGGACTGCTATTCAAGTATCAAATGTTATAATTGTGGGAAGGTTGGACATTTCGTGAAGGAATGCCGATTTGAGAGCAAGAAGGAAACAAATCTCCTTTCTGAGGACGCTGAGGAAGAAGGAGTATTGATGATGTCGAGAAGTTCGGATGTCGAGCTAAGCCCGATCTGTTCTGACAACTCGGTTTGGTATCTTGATACAGGAGCAAGTAACCACATGTGCGGGGACGAGAACCTTTTTAAGGAGCTCACTAAAATTGAGGCCGGACACGTGTCATTTGGAGATGCATCAAAGGTGGCAGTAAAAGGCAGAGGTACAATCTGGTACCTGCAGAAGAATAGCCGAGTTCGAGAAATCAGAGACGTGTACTATGTACCCGATCTCAAAAGCAACATATTGAGCATGGGCCAGCTGATGGAGAAAGGCTACTTGGTTTTGAAGAAAGACCGAGTACTATACTTGAAGGACAAGTCAGATTGTTTGATTGCCCGAGTAGAAATGAAGAAGAACAGAATATACAAGCTGGACTTGAAGATAGTCCAAGAGAGGTGCTTGAAACTTGACGTGAAGGATGAATCAATGATGTGGCACTTTCGATTTGGCCACTTGCATTTTGGCGGACTGACCGAGTTGGTAAAGAAAGAGATGGTGCGAGGACTCCCGTCTATGGAATTTGAAAAGAAATTCTGTGAAAAATGTGTGCTCGGGAAGCATCCGAGGATGACCAAGTACCGTGCAAAGGAACAACTCGGATTGATTCACACAGATCTTTGTGGACCGGTTACCCCTGAGTCCTTCAGTGGGAAAAGGTATTTCATTTCTCTTATAGATAATTTTTCAAGAAAAACCTGGGTATATTTTTTGAAGGAGAAATCCGAGGTGTTTGAGGTGTTCAAGAAATTTAATGCAATGGTTGAGAAAGAGACTAACATGTCTATCAAATCTGTTAGGTCTGATCGAGGAGGCGAGTTCATTTCATCCGAACTCATGAAGTATGCGAGGAACAAGGGATAAAGAGATTTCTGACAGCACCATACTCACCCCAACAAAACGGAGTTGCCAAGAGGATGAATCGAACCATTCTTGACATGGTTCGAACAATGTTGAGAAGCAAAACGTGCCAAAGGAGTTCTGGGTAGAAGCAGTGCAATGTGCCATCTATGTGCAAAATAGATGTCCACATGCTAAGCTGAACGAGAAGACACCGCAAGAAGTCTGGAGTGGAAGAAAACCGAGTGTGTCTCACCTTAAAGTGTTCGGTAGCATAGCTTATGGTAATGTTCCAGCTCAACAGAGGACCAAGCTCGAAGATAGAAGCAAAAAGTATGTGTTTATTGGGTATGATGAAAAAACCAAGGCGTACAGGTTGTTTAACCCAATAACTAAGAAGATCATTATGAGCCGAGATGTTCAAATTAATGAAGAAAGCGAGTGGAGTTAGAACAACCCGGAGGAGTCCATAGGAAATAGAAGCTCGGAAGTTGATACACCACATACTGTGAGAGATCATGAAACTTCTGATGAAGAAGATGAACCTCTACAGCCCAGAGCGCAAAGTTTACAAGATATATACAACTCCACTGACGAAGTGCATATTGTATGTCTCTTGGCAGATGCAGAAGACTTAAGTTTTGAAGAGGCTGTGTAGGAGAAAAGGTGGAAAAAGGCAATGAACGAGGAGATCGGGGCAATAGAACGCAACAACACATGGGAGCTGACTAATTTGCCCAAAGGAGCGCAGCCTATTGGCGTAAAGTGGGTGTACAAGAAGAAGACAAATGCTGAAGGAGAAGTTGAGCGATATAAAGCTCGACTCATAGTGAAGGGACACAAGTTGCAGATATGTTCACGAAGTCACTGCCAACCACTCTGTTCGAGAACAGCAAGAAGATGTTTGGAATGAAGGACAAGAAAAGCATTTAAGTTTATGGGGAGATTTTGTTAGGTAAACATTAAATGCATGTAGTTGAGAGGTAGTAATTGTATTGAATGTATGTAGTTGAGAGATAGTGGTTGTATTGAATATATGTAGTTGAAAGGTAGTAGTTGTATTAAATGCATGTAATTGAGAGGCCATATCCAAAAGTCTATAAATTGAACATGTACCACTCATTGTAAACACATCAAGTGATAATATACAGAGTGTTTTATTTAGATACTTGTTTGTCAACAAAAATAAGAAAGAAAAGATTAAGGGAGTCACATGACTCTTTATTAGGGTACTTCATGTAAAAAACTCAAGAATCTATTACTTTGAGACTAGCCTAGATAGTTAAGGTCAGTAATCAACTATAAATATCTGAATCTCTTCTCATAGATGTGGCTTTTCATTAATACATTTTCTTAGTTTACATATCTCTTCTTTCTATCAATTCTCTAATATGGTTGTCAGTTCCGTAGAAATTTTTCTTGCGTGGTTGTTATTTCTTCCTTTGATACAATCGCAATGTTGTGATTTCTGTTTTGATCATTCTTTTGCTACACTCATACTCTTGTGATTGGATTTGCGATCAGATCGGTCATTGTTATTTGCAATTTCACCTTTGCGATTTTGTCTTGCATTAGCAACCTTGGCTATTTTCACGATCTCTCATGGATTTTATGATCCCTTTGTGGTTTCCATTCGCACCATTGCCTGTAGATCTTGCAATACTCATCTGCAATTTATACTGTAAGATCATATTCGTTATCTTGGTTGAGAGAAGTTCGTTTAGAGAAAGATCTCCCAGCAGATTATTTTGTATAAGTTGAGTCTGAACAGAAATTCGAAAAAGGCTGACAAAAAACCTACCCCTAGGACCCTATATGTTTGACACCACAGCCAAACCAACTTTCATAAATAATCTGGAAGGCAGCAGAATTTTTTTCTAACATTCCCCCACTCAGGAGCATATAAGTTGTATGTACTAAGCTTAGAACATATGAATTGAATTTGAGATCCCCTTTAAAGATTTGGTTATAACATTTGCAATTTGATCATTGAAGTTGATAAATTGAGTATTCAAAGACTTTGATAGCAGCTTCTCTCAAACAAAATAACGATCAATTTCTATTGTGTTTATTTCTTGAATGGAATATGGGATTAAAGGCAATGTAAGTTCTGCTTGATTATCAAAATACAATTTCATCTATTGAATCTCACAAAACTTCATTTATTGGAGAAGTTGTTGGATTCACACAAGTTGATGCAAATTGTGATGAGTATAGTTTTTTCTTTTGAATAGTTCAGTTCATCGCACACCATATGATAAGCCTATGAATCAAATTCTAATAACTTTAATTATAATCAGATATTCCTATTGGAGATCTCACGTCACTAAGAGATATAACCAACTTATAATATAATTAAGATGCAAATTTCATCTTATAAACCAATTTTGTAAGATTGAATTGATTATCTTTCCATTTCTAATATGGTAGGTATTACAGTCTATCTTAGCAAGATTTATTGGCCTATTACCCATCCATTATTGGTCCACCCTTAATATTTAGTTTTACGCTCTCGAGAAGTTCATTCCTCAGTATAAGGTGTTAGAGATCCCAAATCGATTGAAGATATGACCAACTTATAATATATTAATTACGGTGCAAACAAGTCAGAAAATATAAAATCCTAAAAGATCATCTAAGATACTCTAAAATATTCTAAAGATGATATCATCATATATTTCTAACCGTTATCTTAAACCACTTCAAACTTACCCAAACAAAAATAGATACTAATCTGATTATAACTATAATTGATTATACATACAACTCATTGTTGAAATAATTTAACTATCGCAGCAATCCCAAGTAAATCCTATATGTAAGATTGATGAAAAAAATAATATTTTACCATTTGAGCAACATATATATTTAGTCCATGTACTGAAATATGGAAATTTCCAGCAACCCTTTGAACATCTAAAACGCCATAAACCTGCAATAGAATTGTTAGCATTAAAATTTGAAGGTCGGACACAGTGTAACCAAAAATAATTCATATATGGTAATTTATTTATACCCGGCATCCTTCCCCTTTTTTAATTGCTTCCTTCACTTTCTTGATAATATTTTCAGTAGATTCATCAAGATTTTGCAAATGTATCTTCTGATCTGAATGCTCATCATGATCTTTATGATCATCTGTTCACAGTTTTTACAAGGCTGTAAGTGGGGAAAAAACAACTTCACAAGAATATGATATACAGAACCAAATGTTTAGCCCTTAAAACCACACTAGTTAAACTACAATATGAATTTAGAAGAATATGATTAATAGATTACGTGAACAAAAACAAAGTTAGGGAAAGAACAATCCAGAAAAAGCAGAAGCACTAAATAAATAGAGAGGTTCAGCAAAGTGCAAACAGCAGGAGGGACACGGAAAACAAAAGCTGGGGCAGCATCCAAACCGGAGGGCCCTTCAGAAGAGAGATCCAAAGAACAAAGATCGAAACAGAACAGCTAGAGCCTAATAACAGCACTGAACAGTAAATCACCCTTACAACTAGTGAAATTATACATATAAAACAATTTCTTAAATATTTTTGGTTTGGCAAGACAAACCCTATGAAATTTAATTGTGATAACCAAGCTATTCCAATATCAGCAGAAGCTATGAAAGCATAAATTGTTGCAGCATCCAAACAAGAAGGTCGTTCAGAAGAGAGATCCAAAGATAAAAAAAGAACAGGGAAAGCCTCTAATATCAGCACTGAACAACAAATCACTCTTCCAACTAGTGAAAATATACATTTGAAACTAATTCTTCAATATTTGAGGTTTGGCAAGACAAAAAGTGCAAAATTTATGTGATAATCAAGCTATTCAGTGTTTCATCATAAAATCTTATGAAACAATGGTGCAGCATCCAAATAAGAGGGTCCTTCAGAAGAGAGATCCAAATGTCAAAATAAAACAGGGAGAGCCTAATAACAGCAGTTAACGGCAAATCAGTCTTGCAAGTACTGATATTATTATACATTTGAAACAATTTCTTCAATCCTTGAGGTTTGGCAAGACAAAACCTATGAAATTTATTTGAGATAAGCAAGCTATTCATAGACAAGAAGTTTTTTTCCTGTGGAAATCATCATTGTAGTCAATATCACAATTATACCCAAGGATCATAAATCCTGCTTCTTTCTAGGCATTTCTAATCACCATTCACAACTTTTTTTTATCATTTTAGGACTACTTGAAAACACGTGAGACTGGCAAGTTTATTTTAGCTCTATTTGTCCAACCCAGAAGAAAAACTGTGCCTTGTGAATCATTTTTTAACATGGTTTCTACTCTCTCCTGACTGCCTTCCTGCGACACACTCACAACTGAAGTTTTCTCTACAATACATTCTGAAGTTCAGGTTCCCCTCACCAGCTACGTTTTCTGTTCTGAACTAATCCCCTGTAATCATGTTTTCATCTGTTCTCTGTGTTCAAGCATTCTCTAATCTATTATATCTTCGGCATTATGATGTATGGATTTAACTCAATTGAAAGTATGGGGAGCAAAAGGACTAAACAATAGCTTACATGGTCATAATCTCACAGGTTTTGATACCATGTCAAGAACCTACTTTCCTAAGAGCTAAAGCAATTGGATGAATGACTTTTATATGGTAATCAGATACTAATAGCCAAGTAATATCTACCAATTAAACTAAAACACGTATCTTTAGTCAAACATTTATGACTAATCATTTGAAAATAATTAAACTATGAGAAGAAGAGCATCCCTTTATCTTCCAAAAGAAATATAATGGAAATGAACCCAACACTCAATAAGTGAATTAAACTCAAGAAAATACATATTATAGACTTTTAAACTAGACTTCTCAAATCATATACACACACAATGCAACAAGAGATTACCATGCTTATGATGCGCATGCTCCTTTTCAACAAGATCAGATATATATTCAGTGCCAATTATATGGCCGTAACTGTTCAGGCGAAGCTGCAACAAGTCCATACAAAGGGTAAATGATTATTAACAATTAGAGGAGTTAAAAAGAAACCACGGTTAGATAAATTTACTCGACACAAAATAATAATCACTGCGTTCATATTATATATAATAACCATGGGTCTTGACTACACAATGAGGCTGAATTTATACAATTAATATGATAAATACAATGATACAACTTCCTAATTATTAGATATAGTTTGGTTAGCCTCTGGCCTAAAACAATGAACCTATACATATTTATATATTAATGCTTTCAATGTTCTCTTTCAAGCTAGAGCATATAAGCTAGAGTATATAGGTCATGTGTGCCAATCTTGTTTATTTGAAAACCTCCATGAAGGACTTAGTGAAAACTCCCACTATTTATTATTTTGAATTAACAAAGCTAATGATGTTTCAAAATAGCATCTTCTCTCTTGTTAAGTGACAATCTCAAATGTATTTGATCCTCATTCAGGAACATTAGATTCAAGTGGATGATCAAAGCAGCTTAATATTCATGCATAAGCATCATTTGCATAATATCTTTGAATTGAAGCTCTTAAAAGTAGTTGATTTAATTAAATCAGTTCGGAGAAGTTTAGACCGTAGCTCAATATTATACTTTCGCACTTGATCTTGAATGGTAAATGGAGCACCTAACCTCAAAACATGCTAAAGCAATATGGCAGATCACGCAAAGGCCTCTGTATCCACAATAATGAATACAGAGCAATAATTCATACAACACACATATAAATGCTAGAAAAAAAAAAAAAAAAAAACAAAACAAAATTCTCAAAATTAAAGACATATTTGTCACTAATAATAAAATATTGTTAGAATTAATATTAGTTTGTGGTTAGTGGTTAGTAGTAGTTGGTGGTTGTTGTTTTAAATGTTATAATCCTATATATATATATATATATATATATATATATATATATATATATATATATATATATATGAGATCATAGAGTGGAGTAATGCATCCCACTAAATTAGAAATCTTCTTTTCACTCTCTTAATTTGGTATCAGAGCAGGTTGGTCCTGCTCTGCCTGTCCGGCCACCATCCGGCCATTTCCGGTCACCGTCCGACCATTTTCTGATCACCGTCTGACCATTTTCCAATCACCGTCCGGCCACTTTCTGGTCACTGTCCGTCCACTTTCCGGTCACCGTCCAGTCGCTTTCTAGCCACCGTCTGGCCACTTTCCGATCACTTGTTGAATCTTCTGCTATGATTTTTACCCGTGGAAGAGGAAGTCGCGGCACTAGAGGAGGACGTGGAGGTAGAGGACATCCTCAGTGCACTCATTGCAAGAGAATGGGTCATACAGTGAAAATTTGCTACTCTTTGCACGGTTTTCTTGACAAAACTGTCAATTTTTCCAAATCTGAAATGGTTGAACCCAAGTTCTCTCACGAAGAATATCAGGAATATTTGAGGTTGAAATCCAGTAATGTAGCACAGTCATCAACAACCCCAAATTCATCAACATCTTGCGTTTCACAATTTGTGGAAAGTCAAAATTCATGGATTATTGACTCAGGTGCTTCTGATCACATGTCTAGTAATGCCTCTTTGTTCTCTTCTCTCTCATTTCCTAAAACTCCTCATCTCGTAACCTTAGCCAACGGATCTAAAGTAGCCTCTAAATCAGGAAATTTGTATATTTCTTTGTAATCTGTACAGATTTGAATAATTAGGAACAATCCCATAAATCAAGGGATCCTAGCATAAAATAAAGTTATTATATTTCCTAAAATAGCTTAGGTCTCTTGTATAAAAAATAAAAAATCATATTTCAGTTAATCTAATTTTCCAGATGGTATCAGAGCTTCCGATCTAGGAAGCTATGTCTGCGCGCGATAAACCCTAAGACGACAACCTACATTGTTGCTGCATATTTCTTAACCCTAAGACAGCAGCCTACATTGCTGCTGCATATTTCTTAACCCTAAAACGGCAGCCTACATTGCTGCTGCATTTTTCTTAACCCTAAGACGGCATCCTACATTGCTGCTGCATTTTTCTTATAACCCTAAGACCGCAGCCTACATTGCTGCTGCATTTTTCTTAACCCTAAGACGGCAGCCTACATTGCTGCTGCATTTTTCTTAACCCTAAGACGGCAGCCTACATTGCTGCTACATATTTCTTAATCCTAAGACGGCAGCCTACATTGCTGCTGCATTTTCCTTAACCCTAAGACGGTAGCCTGCATTGCTGCTGCATTTTTCTTAATCCTAAGACGACAGCCTGCATTGTTGTTGCATCACACCTCCTTGCTATGATGTCAAGGGCAGAGGAAGTTGTGAATCCAAACCCAGAAACAGGGAATACCCAATCCCAACAATCTGGAGAACTGCAGAATATTCATTCTGCATATAGACTAAATGGAAGAAATTATTTGAAGTGGGCCCAACTTGTTCATACAGAGTGTTGAAGGGAAAGGGGAAGTTGAGTCACCCGATGGAGTCTCGGACCTAAACAGGAGGATCCCAAGTTTACTACATGGGATGAAGAAGATTCAATGATCATGGCGTGGTCGTGGAATTCAATGATTCCGAAATCGGCGACACCTGCATGTTCCTTAATTCGGCAAAAGATAGTTGGGATGCTGTAGAGCAAACCTACTCTAAAGCCAAAGATGCTGCTCAAGTATATGAAGTAAAGGTGAAAACTTTGGCAGCAAAACAAGGGAACAAGACTGTTACAGAATATGCCAATCAGATGAAATCATTGTGGATGGAGCTAGACCATTATAGAGTCATAAAAGCCAAATGTACTGAAGATTCAGCACTTCTCAAGGAGTATATCGAACAAGACAGAGTTTATGATTTCCTTGTTGGTTTGAATCCTGAATTTGATCAAGTTAGGATTCAAATATTGGGGAAGCAAAAGGTACCATGCCTCAATGAAGTGGTGGCTATTGTGAGAAGTGAAGAAAGTAGAAGGGGTCTCATGTTAGAGAGTACAGCAGTAGAGAACTCAACACTGGACCATAAAGGAGATCAGACTTTGGCCATGGTAACCGAACAGAAGAAAGGAGGATCAGCAAATGTGGAGAAGAAAGGTGATGGTCTCTGCTGTACCTACTGCAATAAACCTCGTCATACCCGAGAGAAGTATTGGAAGTTACATGGGAAGCCTTTAAACCGAGATCGAGAAGGGAGACACAAAGGAGGCTCCTCAAGGAAAGGAGGACAAGTTTATGTTATGTGAGTTGCTATGGCTTAAAATCATCTTAGAAGACTTGAGGATAAATTGGGAAGAACCTATGAAGCTCTATTGTGATAATAAGTCAGCAATCAGTATAGCCCACAACCCAGTGCAGCATGATAGAACAAAGCATATTGAAGTAGACAGACACTTCATCAAAGAAAAGCTTGATAGTGGCTTGATATGCACTCCATATGTGTCCTCTCAAGACCAAATTGCAGATATTCTTACCAAGGGACTGAGCTGCCATAATTTTGAGAAGATTTTATCCAAGCTGGGAATGGAAAACATCTATTCACCAGCTTGAGAGGGAGTGTGGGAAATCAAATAGTATTTTAGGAAAGAATAAATCGGGAAATTTGTATATTTCTTTGTAATCTGTACAGATTTGAATAATTAGGAACAATCTCATAAATCAAGGGATCCTAGCATAAAATAAAGTTATTATATTTCCTAAAATAACTTAGGTCTCCTGTATAAAAAAATAAAAAAATCATATTTCAGTTAATCTAATTTTCCAGAAAAGGAACTGGTCAAGTCTCCATTTCTCCGTCTTTAAACTTAAAAATTGTTCTTTTTGTTCCTTCATGTCCCTTCAGTCTCATTTCCCTAAGTCAATTAACCAAATTATTGAATTGTTCAGTAACCTTTAATGCCAACTCTTTTGTTATACAGGAACGTGGTACGGGTCGACAGATTGGCGAAGGACATGAATCTGGAGGCTTATACTACCTTGGGACTAAATCATCTGTATCTTGTGTTGCATCCTTGTCTCCAAAACTATTACACGAACGTTTAGGGCACCCTCACTTATCAAGATTAAAAAAAAATGGTTCCTGAACTTCAGACTCTTCAAGATTTTGAATGTGAATCATGTCAACTAGGGAAACATACTAGGTCCTCTTTTCCTAAATGTTCTGAATCTAGATGTGACTCTGTCTTTTCTCTTGTTCATTCTGATATTTGGGGTCCTAGTCGTGTCTCATCCTTTGGCTATAGATATTTTGTTACCTTCATTGATGAGTTTTCTAGGTGTACTTGGATTTATCTAATGAAAGACCATTCTGAATTATTACCTATTTTTAAGTCTTTCCTTAACGAAATCAAAAATCAATTTGGAAAAGTAATCAAAGTTTTACGAAGTGATAATGCCAAAGAATACTTTTCTACTGATTTCTCCACTCTCTTAAGCTCCCAAGGCATTTTACAGTAGTTTACTTGTCCTCACACACCACAACAAAATGGTATAGCAGAACGAAAAAATAGACATTTGGTTGAAGCTGCTCGTACCTTATTACTTGGTGGAAATATGTCCATTCATCATTGGGGAGATGCTATTCTTACTGCATGTTTTCTCATTAACAGAATGTCATCTTCTTCTCTTAACAATAAAGTTTCATACTCTATTCTATTGTCAAAGGACCCACTCTTTTATGTTTCTCCTCGTGTATTTGGTTGCGTATGTTTTGTTCATGATATGTCTCCAGGTTTAGATAAACTATCAGCTAGAGCCATCAAATGTGTCTTCTTGGGATATTCTCGTCTTCAAAAAGGATATCGATGTTATTCTCCTGAAACCAAGAGGTACTACATGTCTGCTAATGTCACTTTTTTTTAGTCAATTCCCTTCTTCCCTTCTTCTATGCAGGATTTTAGTTCGGTCCAAAATGTCCTACCTATACCCTTAGTGGAGCCATTTGTACCTCCTCCTCCTGACACCCAAAATTCCACACAAAATACACTGGAATCCTCATCACTGCCTCTTATTACCTATCAACACAGGAGCCAAAAGA